TTAGCTAAAACCCTTTAGTTGACAGAATCTTATTCACTTAAAACGCATGATCAAAACTATTTTATTTTATCTCATTTATAATTTCGTCTTTTCTATAAAAACATTAAAAAGGGTATAATTACAACATCGAGACGCATAAGCAACAACAAACATACAAGAAAAATTTGTAAGGTAAAATACGCAAGTGCCATTTTGTAATATGAATCCATCCATAAAATATTTAAAATGATCTCATGATTTTGTCTGGCAATATATCTTAACATTTTTTTAGCTCCATTACTATCCTTGCAGTCGTTGAAAAAAGCTCTTACTCTATGATTTATTCTTTATCTTAGATTGCAAGATAGTACAAATGCAGATTGAAAATTTTGAAATGGTGAAAAGAAAAGCAAAGTCAAAAGGTCCCGATAAAAGGCAAAAACCAACTACAAGTTACTTAAGGTGGAGCAAAATGTTTGCACATAACTACATAATAGAAAGCTTACATTTTATTCCAATAACACATATGTTTAGGGTATATATAAATCTATGCACAAACATACACACACACATGGACAAACAAATAAGCAAGGACTTCAAGTAAAAAATTGTTTTTGAGCTTGTCGTTGGCTTGATATGACAAAAGCTCTGGGGACTCATTGCAAGTTACACAAAAATAACGCAGCAAAAAAAATATCACTCGCTGCCCGACGACAGTGCCTGATTTCTGTGTATGCGAGAGCGCGCCTGCAAATTGGGTCAAGGCCATGCAAACAGCTTTCAACTGGGCCAAAACCAGAAATAGGGAGGCAATCAGCGCATCTATCGGCAAAAAAAAATTCAACTTTCAAGTTTAATTACGCACGGCAGGAGGGGAAACGATTGGGGAAAACTGTGCAATCTATTGCATAATAGTTTCATACAGTTTAATTCTGAAGTTTCTAAAACCAGCATCGCATAATATATCACTATTTTCCAAGTTTAAGAGAAACAACAATGCAGTAGAAGCATTAAAACATACAAATTTAAATTGCCAGCATTATAATCAAGTATAATAAAATCCTCGAAATTGCTCTCTTACCAACAAAAACTTTGGTTATATAAGCTTAAGTCATGCAAGATTATAAAGACCCGCTCTTAATGAAACACTCGACCAAATTCAAGTGGCTTTTCGAACCCGTATCTCACACATCCAGCTAAGCAGCTTTCAGCGTTTGAAGAAATACCCATCGAAAAAGTGCCAAACCTGATTCTTCATGCGACCATTAAGTAAAAGTTTAATGGTTCAGCCAGCCACCAGCATCGGATCGTATCATCATTGAGTTTACACGGATGCAGCACGAATTTTAAAAATAGCCAACGGAGAAGAAAAACAGCGAGCAAAAACAAACAAAAAATCAAGCAAACGAGATACATTCACAGAGATATGAACATTAATAATATTGCTTCATTCTTCAGCCCGCTTCGCCACCCCCCACACACTCATGTGAACAACAATGCTGATTAAACAGAAACAAAAAACTCACAATCTCACACATAGAAACACATTATAATTTAGCCGACCTTGAACTTGAACGAATGCCTCCTCGGCATTGTTGTATCATATGTTGTTTTTGCTGATTAACAATTAACAGAACGGGCATAGAAAGCGAGAACCGACAAAAAGAGGGTGAATTATAGAAGAGGAGGAGATAGATGGAAGCATTCGACGACTACGGTTTTGTGGATATCAAAATAAGACATTTTGTAGACACCTCACCTTGCTAACGAGCAAAACAAAGCCTTTACAAATTAATTGGTCAAACAAGATTGTGACAAAAAAAGGGCGGCGAGAATAAAAGACAAAAACAAAGCAAATAAAACGAGCTTTCAAAGCTTTCAATGTGTTACTTGCGATAGAACAGGTAAAAGAGAACGCATTTTGGGAAAACCCCTTGAGATTGCTTAGGAGAAATATAGTAGCCCCATTTGCGCATATGAAATATCATAGACGAATTTTCTTCTTTGCCAAATGAGCAGTTCTAATAAACATATTGAAAAACGGATATGAATATCGAACAATAAAAACACTAACTAATTAATACAAACCAAGAAGAATTATATTTCCATAGATCTACACCAAAGCTATCATTCAGTTCCCTTGTAAATAGCCCAAAAACCGAATTAATTTCTTAAAAACTTTGCTGTTTGCAAAAACATATTCTAAAATTGAGAGAAAATACAATTATGCACCTATCAGTTTTTTCTCATTTGTGTTTCGTAGACTCTTTTAGACAAAGCACCCCATGGCTTTGTTGCACTTAAAGATATATATGTATAGATCGTGATCGATGGGGTTTCGTACGAGATTGTGTTCGGTTTTTGATGTTTGTTTGGCAACGCTTCAAGCAATATCGAGAAACAAACGCCAAACGCAAAATGAAATTTTAAGTAAATTATATATACAGTGTATATTTTAAGGTGTACACTTAGAAATAAATCGGAAGAAGAGAAGAAACTGGGAGTTACACTATAGCTTACCCTTGGCCCATCGACTCTTTCGAGGATAAATAGAGCGCCTCTTGGTTTTTCTTTTTTTACACATTACCTGGAATCGCTGAAATTTTTCTTTTTTTTTTTTTGTTGATGAAAGATGAATTTTGATTTGAGGAGGGGAATAATTGGTGATACAGGGAAGGAAACAAGGAATAGGTGTTAGGATCGGGCGGAATTTATCGGGGTCCAAAACAAAAATGAACTTAAAATATAAAATTTACTTCATTTTTGTATTGCACTCCGCCCAACCGATACCGTCGAGCGGAGCATACTCACCTGAACACGCACCTGAGATATCCGCGCTGAAGTTGGATGCTTGCTGGGATTAAAGTTGGATCTCGTCGAACTGCCCAAAGCTGCGATTGTACCTCACCATCTAGGATGGCTACGTGCTTTGTTTTCGGCAATGACTTGAGACCGTCTGCAGCTGATCCTCCTCCGAAAGCGACGATCCTTCGGTCCAAGTTCACCCTTATTGGTCATCAGTTCATGTTTACACTTTTCACTTGACTTTTTAAAGGTTTTTTTTTAACGACAACGTACATCTTCTGGTTAAGGAAAAGTTTCCCAAACCTAATAGATGTAAAACCGGAAGATAACGTGCGCGCGCGTAACGTAAATCGGAAAGCTTACAAGCTAGCTTTAAAACTAAAACAAATTCATAAGGAAAATAAACAAATAAAAAAAGTCCCGTCAACCAAAATAAAGCAAAATATATATGTATATATAGAGATAGTACTAAATTACAATTTAAAACTGCATGCGTATTTTCATAATAATATGTATAAAGTAAAAAAAAACTGTGTAAAAAACATTAGCACGCGCTGAGAGTTCTAAGAAAGAGGACAATCAATATGAAATGGCACAAAAGTATAGTGTGACAAATGAAAGATTGAGTGTTTTGTTTGCGAATGTTCGTGGGTGTAGTGGTAAGGGTTATGCTCGAAAAATGCAAACAAAGTTAAGGCGAACAAACATAATCGAGTCTTGCTAGAAGTGTGGCCAAACTTTGCAAAGTTTTTGACGCGACTGTACTGAGAGAGCTTTCTTCGTGGGTGGAAAAAATACATGTGACAGAGCCCTGCACACTCACACAAACGTACTACACACAGATTGGCACACGCACACACAAACAGCAGCTTAGAGATGGGGGACAGAGCGAGCGAGAGAGAGATCATAACGCACACACATAAAAACACTGTTGATACGTAAATTTTAACACTAACTTAAATGATAAGGGAATTTCTTTGATTTTTCTGCCTAAATTGAAGCTGCAGTGTGAGTGAGTGTGGGGTGTGAGTAAGTGAGTCAGTGTGACTATGAGTTATGAATTATTTCTATGGAATGCATTTTCTTTTTCTATGCTCTGCAGCTAACGGCTTTATGTTGGAAAAAGAGAGGAGTACAGAGGGAAGGGGTAGAGAAAGAGATATAGTGAGAGGGCGAGCAACTAAAAAATGTTGGGAATATCGAATTATGCGAATTATATATACAGTAAATAAAGCAAAATTAAGAGTTAATCAAACACCAATTGTCAAAAGTATTACGAAAATTCAACAACAAATGATCATACATAGAATCATACATATATATATATAGAAAATGGTAAATGAGAATGTTAGGGGTGGTAGGGTTTTGTGGTATATAGCAATTATATATGTTGGTGGTGTGTGAGTGGTAAATGTTTCTCATTTCTTTTAAAAGTGTGTGTGTGTTAAAAAATTAATCATAATAAATAGATATGTACAAAAAAAAGATTACTAGTTATACGAATTATGTGTGTCGTAATTAAAAAATTATTAGTTTTGTAAAAAATCATATTAAGTAAAGGAAGAGTTTTTAAGTAATACTTTCAACTTGCACAAATTATTCTTGTTTCGGGTTAATTTATCTGTGACGAAGTGAGAGGCGCAAGCAAAAACAAAACTTGCCAAAAACAACAATTCTTAATTCTTATAAAAAATCACAAATCAGAGTCGTAAATTCTCGCTCTTCTACATTAAATTTCTGTTTTTGCATTTGTTTTGTTTTTCCCTGTGCCAAACTCTTGTTCACAAATCTTGTTATTTTGGTATTGTTTGTATTTGTACTTTTTCTTGTTGCTTGCTTTTTTTTTCGTCTGCTATCTTGTTGAAAATTATATTCAAAATATTCTACGTTTCTTTTTATGTTATTTTTTCTTCTTCAACGTTTAAGAGCTTTTTTCGGAGCACGACTTTTGTAGTGTATATTAAAATTGTAAAAAAAAAAATTAAAAGAATGTATATTTTTTAAATGTTTGTGTGGTAAAAATGGAGTTGTGACCTTGAAAAGTTAAATTTCAATACTTTTATCTGCATTTGCATTTGAATTTAAGCTTGTTTGTTTGTCGTGCTCGCTGATTTGAAAAAACATCTCGTCTAAAAACTTCTAGGCTAAGCTGTACTTTTTGCTTTTTCATTTGTTCGTAGCTCATATAATCGAGTTCAGAGGCAACAAACACTCACCTTGGGGATCCCGTTGCTGTGCATCCTGTGCCATAAGTCCAAGTTCATCCTGAGATCTGTCGTGTTGTTGCCATGTTGCATATGCTATTTATTGAAGATGAAAAACGATTTGTTAGCTACTGGAAAAATCAAAAAAGAGCGGGATCTGATGGAAACTCACTTTGACTAGATCCTTCACCGCCCTGGCTGGTGCCGGCCGTCTGGTCCAGCTCCTCCATTGTCATGTCCTCCTCGTCTAGTGTCAAATCCTCAACGTTCTCATCGTGCGCATCGTCATCGTATTCGGCCTTGGGTTCAATAACCATTTCAGAGCCCACGGATGACACGCTGTTGTCTTTGATCTTTTGTTTGTGATTCGACGACGATTTGTCCACAACGCTAGCCAGCTGCTTGACCACAACTCCGGCATGGACGGCGGATGCAGAGGCGGAGGCGGGATTGGGTCCACTGGCGGCGCTTGCTCCGCCAACGGCACTGCCCTCATCCATGTCCTCATCATCGCCCTGGACGCCTTGGGCGCCACCTTGGCTCTGGGCTTGTACATTCTCGGTGTTGATGGCATCGCTTGTGGTCTGCGCCTGCTGCAGATGGGCCTGTTGTACGGCGGCCGCTGACGCAGATGCTCCGCTCGCTGGAGCGGCTGTCGAGGATGTTAGTTTAGCGCTTTCAGTCTTTTTGGTAACGTTGGTGCTGGTCAATGGCTGCTGTTGCTGGGTCGACGATGCTTGGCTGCTGGTTCCGGCTGCCGGTCCGCTGGCCAACTGGGTGCTGACCAAAGCGGAGACGGCCAGACCGGCGCCTGTCTGCTGGAGGATTGACTGATTCGAGGCGGCGGCTTGCAACACTGATGAGTTGGAGTTGTCGTGGGCATCTGTAAGAGAAAGAAACACAACATTAGTTACTGAAATTTGTGTTACACGTCAAACTACAAACACCATTGCGACTGAATTGTACTCTTGTTGTTACATTCTGTTTACTTTCAACTGTATCATTTTCTTCGAATGACTTTTCGCATTAAAATTTAATATTTGATTAAATTAAATTTAATTACTCATCATTTTACTTATTTAATTAAAATTGCGTCTATAGAGTGTTCTAGATTTGGTGGTTTGTTTTTCGCAGTTTAATAAAAGATAATCCTAATCGCTTGACAACTCACCATTCTCCATGCTGCGACGTCTGACTTTTCGACGCCGACGCGACGGACTCGAGGAGCCCTCACGCGAACCGGACACATCACCGGATGTGTCCAGCGCTCCGCTGGTGGCCAAACGTGCCCGCTTCGTCTGCTCAAGTGTGTAGGCACCGCTCAGCTTGCCACCACGATGATGCTGTGGTCCAGAGGATTCTGGCTTGGGGGCCGATCCGCCGCCAGTGCGATTGTCCGACAGACCCTTGATTTGCAGCGATTCGGCGGCCTTGAGCAGGGCGGCCAGCTGATCCTGCGAAATATTGACCTCGCCGCGATACATGTAGTCCATCATGGCGCGCAGCTCTTGGTACTTGACATCCTTGAGTATAAAGATGGGATGCTTGTCGTACTGTTCTTGTAGTAAGGTCTAAAGAGATGGAGGATTTTTTTTAGTATAAAATTTACTTTAAATGGGGTAGCTTTAAGACTTACAGCAAAGTAGGGACTGCATGCTGACAGCACCACCTTGTGGGCCTTGAGAAATTTGCCCTCGGCGGCTAGCGTGCAATCGACTAGAGTCTCGTTCTCCAGCAACGTGTCGAACACGCTGATCAGTGTGCTCTGGTGGTTGTTCCACCGCAAACAAAACTGCTGATCGTCATCCATTTTGGTATTTTGGGTGTTTTGGATGGGGTTGGGTTTTGTCGGAAATGGATCCTGGGGGTTTTGGGCCCACGTCCTTGGGGCCGGGCGTTGAGCCTCCTCTCTCTGATTTGCTGTTTTTTCGCCACTCGCTTGCTGATTTATTTATATGCACAACTTAGGAGTACAGTGGGGTGGGCTAAACAAATAAAACTGCTTTCGCCTTTGGTTCTTCTTGTTTTGTTTTGTGTGTCAGCAGTTATGCTGCAAAGAGAGGGAATAAAAAAAGAAATTAGTAACGCGAAAAAAACTGGCAATAATGCGGCCCAAGGTCAAGTTCATGTTTAATTTCAGCGCAGCAATAACAATATCTTTCATCTCTTTTCCACGCTTGAAATTTCAGCTAGAATTTTTATTGTTGTTTTGCATTCACAAACACACTCGCACAAAGAGACATACTTATATTCAAATTTTGCACAGCGAAATGCAGTTTTTTTAATGTATTTTTTCGAGCGAGTTTCTGCTTCTTGTTAATTTTTCAACTTTGCTCTTTCCAACAACACACACACGGTTTAGCTCAAAAAGAGAGAGCTAACGGATTTGTGTTACAGTTGCTGCTTCTGCTTCCCGACTGCCTGAGTGTTGGTGTTGGAGATCGATGGACACGATAAAATCCGAAGAGACTTCGTGACGGCCGAAAAAAAACGGAAAAACGAAGCATGAAACATAAAGAGGGGAAGTTTCGCAGTCGGCGTCACTGCAGCACACACACATTTATATGAGTGCGTGTCTGGTCTGGGTTTTTTTTCTCCGTTGTGGAAAATTTCACAAGTAGACACACAGACGAATATTTATGATGATTTTCATTTTTCCCCATCATCAGCACTCACACACACTCGAATAGCTCACTGATAATTTTTAAAGTTGAAGTGTGGAGCAATCGTTTCAGTTTTTTATGGTGTGCGCATTTAAAAATAGAACGTTTTTCATTAGAAGCAGTCAGCAATCACACACACAAACACAGGGCCTGCCACCCATCATATAGATATGGGCGCTTATTTCACAATCTCTCTCGCCCGCGATTATGCTCCACTTGCACAGACACAAACTCAGCAGCTAAAACACTTACTGTAGTGTGTTGTAAATAATTAGCACTGCAAAGGTTGGTTTTCCTATTCTAGCTCCGCTTTGCCGTTGGACGAGTGTATGTAGAAATTTAGCCAGCAAACCGCACGCGTCGCGATCTGCCGCACAACGCAGAGAACCAAACAAAAGCTCCGAGCGCACAAAACGAAATGAAACCGAACGAAACGACGCAAATGAAACGACGCAAATGTGACGGCAGCTGAGCGACCCTCGAACGACGCCCGCTGCTCTGCTGTGCTCTCTCGCTCTCTTGCTCTCACCAATGGCAAACGAAGTTGCTGCCTGTCAGGGTGTCGGAGCGAGTAAGAGTTGAACGTCATTCTCTCTCTGTCTCTCCCGTTTGGGGGCACGTTATGAAATTGCCAAGTAGGCAGCGGGAGAGCGAGGCAGGTAAGCTGCGACAGCGACGTCAACGGCGGCAGAGGAAAAAGGAGCCCAAAGGAAAAGGAGAACTGCAGCAGCAATAATCGTGCCAAAGCAAAATAACGGGAAATACACAAACACCAACACAGACAGGTAGCGAAAATTGGCTGGAAAACGCTAATTACTTTGATTTTCTGGGTATTTCGATCTGTTTGCTAGTTAATCTGTTTTCAAAGAGAAAATGCATGAAAACTTTTATAACTGTGCACTAAAAATAAAACCGAAAGCTAACTGTTCTTTGTGGCAGGAAGCGAGAGAGATAGCTATATATATAAAACTGTGTACGTGACTATAGGCTCCCTTTTTAACTCCCCTTTACGTTTTCTAGTTTCAGTTTTTCTTTTCACTTTTCGCCAGATCCAAGCGCAAAAATACTAGACAGAGACAACAAGGAAAAGAGAGGGAGTTAGGGAAAGGGAGAGAATCACCCCCAGGGGAGACCCAAGCCACGCACCGTTAGGCGGAGGGATCAGTTTTTGAGATTCTGTTATACACACACATGGTTCCACATGGAAGGAAGGTGCAAGGCATGCGCACAAAGTACACATAAAGAAAAGTTAATATTACAAATGATCAATTGAATGGACTGTCACTTACTCTAATGACATATAGCAAGTTACTTCAGTACCCAACTGTTGGATATTGGGCCAACAGTTTTAGCAGAATAAGTTAAAATTTAGTAACCTGCCATTTATCCTGATTTGATCTTATTACGAATGTTATGTTGACCTGCTTTTTTCCGTGTAAAAATCCGATAGCAAAGCTGCAAAAACAACAATATGTCTTACCCCAATGATGATGCATTGGAGGGGTTTTCCACAAACAAACACACGCACACAAAGCATACACAAGTCGAGACAAAGAGAAGTAGGTAAAAACTGCAGGGAGGCGAAAAAGGATCTCTCTCGCTCTCTCCCTCTTTTCCCTTTGGCAACGAATGACGCGCGCTCTTTGCACATTGCAAGGTTTTATTTTTGCGCAGATGGTGGAGGATTATGAATTGGGATCCTGTGACCGAAATGAGCGAGAGAGTTTGAGTTTGTGTGCGTGTGCGGGAAAGTACAGTTGGTCTCAAAAGGCTGGCACTTCTTTGGGGTTCAGTTTTCCCAAGAGAACCCACAAAAGATGTACTAAATATGTTCGGGGGTGGAGTAATGAGCAATCGGTAATTGGAAACTGAGAAAGTCTGTGTTGAGGTCTACTATCAAACGATGTCCAAAATGTAACGTTTCACGTACGGAGCATTGTTAGCGAAAATCTCAACTGGCGTTTCCTTTGGCAACTGCATTTATAAATGTTTAGGCAAAAATAAATCCAAAACACTATGAAAACTGCTGTTGCAAATGGAATTATGAATGGTGAAATTATGAAAATGTTTATCGACAGATAGGGCTCTATACTTTAGTAAACTCTTTTTCGCTCCGAGAACCTTCTCGTAAAAAGGATTATGTGTTGAGATCTACTATCAAACTACGTTCAAATTATTTAATTTACGAAACGTTGTTAGCGAAAAACTCAACTGGATTTCGTTTTTGCAACCGCAAGATTGTGTGGAAAATATTTAAATCATTTTCCAAACTTCAGTATAAGCGAGCTGCTCAATCAGTAACGGTATCATTATGTTTGGTATTTGTAATGAGATCTACTATCAAACTACGTTCAATTTATTTATTTTACGAAACGTTGTTAGCGAAAAACTCATCTTTAATTTGTTTTAGCAAATGCGGGATAGCAAGAGAAATTCGTTCTCCAACTTTTTTATGAGCAATTTGCTATGATCCCTAAAAAACAATTTGTATTTATTTCATTTTGTGTTGAGATCTACTATCAAACTACGTTCAAAATTTTCATTTTACGAAACGTTGTTAGCGAAAAACTCAACTTTCATTTAATATTGCAACCACTGTAGTACGAAAAACTGATGTTTATTTATCGTAATTTGATTTGGTTGCACTAGGCAAATAATAAAGCGAAGAAAAGGATTGTACTTGTTCCTTGACATGGATTGATTGGATTAAATTAAATTAAGATAAGAACTACTGCTCCTTTCCATTTGTTATAAACTTGTTTCAGTTATCAGCTATTGGGTGTTTTCAGTAAGGCTTCATTAATTCAGGATTTAATGCCAACAGACTTTTTGAGTGCCAGATGGAAAGGAAAATGGGATGCATCTGTGGGATGGGGAGCGGATAATATAAAGGATGTCGGCGATTTCGGTCCCCTTTTTCTAAGCACGCGCCAGACGGTTAAAAGGTAAACCCCGGGGAACCGGTTTCCACGAAAGTAGGAGGATGAGGGAGAGGTTCCTCGTCCTTTTTGGTTCTGGTTTTTTGGGGTTGCAATCAACCCCTAAAGTAAACCGATCCCCCCTCTTTACGTTCTACGTATATTATATGTATTCTTCCTCCTTTTTTTTCGTCCTGCCGGCAGATGTTGGATCACAACTGTCGTCCCTTTTCTCGCACAGGAAGTGCCGCCAAAAGTCTGGAGCCCCTTGGAGTAATGAAAATTCTTGGTCGGCAAGAGAAAGAGGAGAGCTCTGAACTTGGGAATATTAATGGGGCTGGTTTTCAACATTTCCAAGTTGTGTCTGTGTGTGTGTATGTGTGTGGGGTACTGTGCAAAAGTCAAAAGAAAAACCGGTTCGCACAGAATATACAAGAACTGTGCCATTTCGAAAAACGAAACGGAGGAGCGGGTGGTTCGCCGTTCTTGGTTGGCAAGTCGGGTTTTGTTTGTTGGTTTAGAGATCCGAGATCCGATCCAAACCGATCTGATCGCTGGCAGAAAAACCAGTTTAAGAAACTCATTTCATTTCACATCGCAGCCAGAAAAATCGCCATGACACACACACACGCACACACACACTTAGCCAGAAAAACAAATTTAAAATGGAAATAACTTAAAAATAAGAAAGAGGGAAAGAACGAGTGTGTGGAGGCCAAGAACAAAATATAAAACTTCCCCCACAAGATTTGCATAAAGTGGAATCTTTTTCTGCTCGACCGTTTTTGTGTGTGTGTGTGTGCGTCTTTGCGAGACATAAAATTTGTATATTTACGACGTAAAAATAAACTCGACGACGACTCTCGCACTGACTTTCAATAATTTAATTTCTGGCAGCTGAAAATGTTGCTGAATAGCAACACACACCAATGAAACTCTCTCGGTTCGAAGCCCAAAAAACGGGGGGAAAAAACACCTCTGAAAACCCACGTAGGCGTCTGTCGCTCATTTATTTATTTTTACACCCTTTTAGCCCGTCGATTTTTACCATGCACACATGTAGCAAAGCAAAGTGAACAGGCTTCAATCGAAGATTGAGAAAAGCTAAATCAGGTGAACGGCAGCGGGATCGCGGCAAAATGAATCTGCGGACCTGAGTCAGCATGGGATCGTCCGGGTAAATTACCCAAAATCTGATTAGTTATTATAATTTCTAGGAAAAGAGTAACGTTTTTCCCCAAACACTGCGAATGTCATAATGAAACTAGTCTTAAGTTATAAAAAGCCTTTGATGTAAGAAGTTTTTCTGTTGAACAGCATCATTGTGTTTATGTTTACTTTTATGTTGTTTAATTTATAATAGTCAGAATGATAATGACAAATGTTTAGATTTTAGATTCAAATGTAAACCCATTGTAAAGACAACTTAAAATTTTTTTATTAAAGTGTATTGAACATATCGTTTTCCATTTTCACACTTCTTTTTCTTTCCTTTTCCGCTTCGCTCGTCTCTGTTCGGCCACAGAAAATGTCGTTTTGCCATTAAAGCAGCGAAAAATGTATAAAAAAAAAAGTCAACCACAAAACTTGTTTTCTCAAAAAGCTATTTAAAGTGAATGTTAAGGGCTTGTTATGCGCGAATGTATCTGTATCTGTAAAAGTATCTGCCACTGCAAGTGTTAGTGTGGGAGCAGAGGAAGTAGGTGCTTTGTGTATGGGTGAGGTTTTTCTATATCTTGGGTTCGATGTAGATTTACCACGCTGATGATGTCGTTTTGTTTTTTTTTTATAGTTTTTGGGCATATTGAGTTTGTATATTCCGCCTTTTTTAAAGGTTACTAAAATACGACTGCCAATTATGGAATGTTGGCAATCAAAAAGTAGACTAATTCCTATTGTTGACACACTAATAAAAAATTACATGATTTGGAAATTTAATTATATAATGTTTAGGAACTCGACTTCTAATCATTGTGATTATGAACAATTAATTTGTAAATTGGTAGAAGTGTATGTTACCTTTGATGCAAATATTTACAACTTTTTTTAAACAGATTTATTTTAAACCAAGCCCTTTGTTGCAAATATTTGCATGTTTTGAAAACAGATTTATGTTAACGGTTTTATCCTTCCTTTTAACCAAACTACTCCCATTTTAAAGCTGGGTTGTATCCAACTAAAAGTTATTAAATCCCCACGCCACCTCGAGTGAAAGTGAAAAAAACTAAGCCACCGAAAATAATCAACAATAAACAGCAAAATAAAACGCACAAAAGTTCAATGAACTTTTTTGCTAATGGCCAAAGCGAATAGGCAAATAAAAACTAACAAAAATAAAAGTCGGCCAAAGAGCAGGCGGCGATAACGGCCGCTCATTATATTTTTCTTCCTTCGTTTTATTTTTTCTACATTTGTTCTGTTTACTGTAATAACAAGAATAGTAGAGAATAGGCAAGAAAAGTGCGACTTTTTATTTTGGCACGCGCGTGTGTAGGTCAGAAATCCACTACAAGGTCATTGGTGTTTCGAAAAAATCTGATGACTTTAAAGAAATTTCAGATATAAATGGTAAACAAAGAATAAAAGCAAGAGACCGAACCAAAAAAAAAAAAACAGTTTCGGATTTTTACACTTGTTGCGCAAAAGCTTTTTATATCTCATTTATTATTGTTATTATTCTGCACATGTGCGTAGAATGTAAACAAATGAAACTTTTGAAAAAGTTGCAGGTGAAATTTGGCAACGTCGCAGAATTTTGTACGAAAAGATTAGGCGACACGAAAATATGAAAAATGGAAATGTGTAAACGTGTCGAAAAGAAAACAACAAAAGCGGCGTAGCAAAAGTGTAGCACACAGTGGAAACAAAAATATGTGGCGATGCGAGAGGAGAGCGGACAGCTCTCTCTTTCTCACTCCCTGTCTGTCTCTCCCAATTTTCTAAGTGTGTGTGAAAAGTGCAGAGAGAAAATTTCACGCTTGGGTTTGTTGTTGCCCGTTTTTTTCGTGAACAAACATAAAAGCGAACGAGGGAGTAAGACAGAAAGAGCGGGGAGCAGGAGAGAAAGGAACGGGAGCCAAAAGAGCGAGAGAGCCTAGCATTGAACAAAATATTTTATGTGTGGGGGAAAAACCAAGATGGCGGCCAACAAGACTTTGGGAATCTAACGAAAATAAAAAACGTGCTTTTTACTAGGAGTTCTAAAATTGCGTTCATTTTCTTTACAGTTGTTAAGTTAGTTGTTTACTAATCACAATTATTAAGCTTTTTTCTCCCTAGTTTCCCCAATAAAAAGCTTATGTAACTCTGCGACACACTCACACACACGTACGTGGATGTGTACTTGTGGAAACTATTTCCCACTGCAACACTTGACCTCATTTGCATGGAAAGTGAGCCACTGGCTGTGTGTACGTGTGTGAAAATTAATGAAAATCGCCCGTCATTTACTTCAGCGTTGCATTTTGCGGGAAAGCTCGCCCTCTCTCGCTCTCTCCTTCGCTGGTAAAAAGCTTTCTCCTTCATAGCGAGCATAGGGAAAAATCGATAGAAACACCACTGGAAGTATCGATTCGATATGTAAAAACACGCACACAGAACCACAGGCAAAGTACAGTTCAAATCAAAGTTCTTACTGTATTATTTAGCGATATTTACTATGTTAATATTCAATTTTATTATATACACACCGAAACAGAATCACAGGCAGCACGTAGTCGTCAATAAACTTTGCACATATCAAATTTTGGTGTTGCTTTTCCAAGCCATATATATATATATATGTACACACACACAGCACACACACGATAACGCGACGGGGAAAAGCAATAAAGTTGAATTTATTTTTACTGTATGTGATGGGGCCCAGTATGCATGTGTATGTGTTTTCCCTTCCCGCTGCCCGTGGAGCAGAAAGAAGAAGAGTAGAGCAGCAGCAACGCACACCACACAGAAAATTGCGGACGCGCGGACTGAAGAAAAACTGACGACTGCGAGGGACGCGACTTTTCGGCTGGCGCACGGAAAGTCCACAGAGCGACGAGGAGCCGAAGCACAGCCGAGCGCAGAGTTCGAAACCCGAAGCGGGCGAATGTGAGTGCGAGTTCGAAAAATGAGTTGACGTCGTCTGTTTGTGTTCCCTTCCTCTTCCGAGCTGTGTGCTTTTCGTATGCTTGCTTTGCCGCGCAGAGTTGCCAGCCAGAGTTGCCAAACTCAGAGGGCAGATCGACAAAAGATTAACTCACATAAGATGTAGTCACATGTGAAAATGAAACAATTTGCAGTAATTTAATGTGCTTACCAAAGCCACAGAATAGATCTTGTAAAAAGCCTTTACGAATTGAAAATCTAAATTCTTTAATTTATTAGGAACAACTCAAAAATATGTAGTCAAACAATAGTAAAGTTGTAAGCCTAACTAAATTTTTAACCGAACTTTTAAATCGATTAGTTATATTAAATAGAAAGAAAATCTTCAGAATTGTCACTGTGTTGCCCTGTTTGGCAACTCTGGTTTTATGTGGCGGAGTTCGAAAATATCATTCGCATTAGTTTTTTTTTTTTTTTTCCCCCATCGGGGGGCGAGTTTTTGTTGTTGCTTTAGCTTTTGTTTGCTCAATTTTTTTGTTTTTCGCAGGCAAAGCGAAGCCATAATGTTCGAAATGGTAAAAATTACCGTTGCCGAGCAAGCACTCTTTCTCTCCTGCGCTCTTCCTCCCGCTCAGCCGTTGCACTTGTGTGTGCGCGAGGGTGATGGGAGATAGTTTTTGTGTGCAATGCATTTCCCACTAAAAAGCGCAAATTATATTTTGTGCACTCTCCAAACGCTTTTATGATCGGGTGTTGATTTATTTTTGACTTCCAGCATGACTTCATCGCCTTGCGTTTTCTCTCTAATTTTGTGTAAAAATTATGTACCTTATATGTACCTTAATTTTTAACGGTTTTCAGTTCTAGGCAGGAAAATTAACATTCCTGTGCGAAATTCTACACACGGCAAATGCTCTAACCAGTTCTAATTGATGCGAGGAGTGTCTCTGGCAAACATAAATTCTAAAGATCTTGTGGAGCTTTGCGCTACATATAAGTTGAGATTATCCCCGCATAACATCACGTCGATTGACAATCACTCACCTCAATTTCCCTTGGAGTTTCCATTTCAACTCGGTCACGTTCTCCTCTCTCCCTCTCGCCCACCCTCGCACAGAAGAGGCGGCAAACACTCACAAACACTAACTTATTATTATCTATCCGTTTTTATCTAACTGCAGTTGAACTTTAATTATAATAAATTATAGTTTCACTCGACACAAAAATGTATTTGACATCACTCAGTTTTTGTGTGATGGGGTTTTCTTTCGCGACACTCCACTTAAATTTATGTAATGCGCACAGCTTTTTAAGTTACTTATTTGGTTGGTTTTTCTTTTGTGGGTGGGAAACAACGAAACGAGCGGAGCGACGACGATTTTATTCCTGAGAGTTGCCGTTTGTTTCTGAAAAATCGCTGCAAAAAAGTTCGAATAAAAGTCGAAAGAAGAAATAGGCTTGCGTGTGTGTTCGTGTGCGAGAGCACGAAGTTTCTGCTTTTGTTGTTCTTTCTGCTGCATTCGAAAATCCGAAGATCGTTCGTGCGCTAGAACAAGTGAGTGCGAGCAGAACGGAAAGAGTCGACGATACAGTTGATTGCTTTTTGCAACAGTCTGTTTGAAGGGGGACGGGGGAGAAAAGAGGTGGTAAGAAGGGGTTGTGCCAAAAGGAAGTCGTGCTAAATGAAAAGGCAAAGAAAATGTTGTTTTTTTTTTATGGCTCATAAGAAAATATGGTATGTACATATGTATCTACATTCATATGTTTTCGGAGTTCTATGTACATTACATACATATGTACAAGCTTTCTTGATCAAAAAATATTGCAAAATGTGAAGAACTCTGTTATCTTTATGTTTATCTTGCAAATTGGGATATAAAAACTTGGTTTGGAAAACTTTTTTTGAACATATTGGAGAACAAAGTTAATACAAGAAAAAACAATTCTATGCATTGTATGTACATACATATGCATGTACATATAGTACTTACTATTTCTATAGTGATTTTGTTTGTGTGTATATACCGATCTGAACAAACATACATATGTAAATGTACAGATGTACATACATATGTTTAAGTACATTTTATTTAAAATTTGCCTTTAAAAAATCAATGACAAGTCGATTACTAAAAATGGTTAAAGTTATTCTGTGTAAAATTTCATTCAAAGTAGATTTTAGGATCTTCATTTACCACAATATAATGATCTCATCTTGCCTGCAGAATTAATAAAGTTGAATAAATTAGCAGCTAATGCAGAGGTAATTTTACTACAAATAAAATAAATGTAATTAACGAAGAAGAACATATTTCATTAGGCACCTGTCATTATTTTTAGCGAGGTAATTAAAATTCCCGGTTGGGGAAGTAGAAAGGTGTCAGGAAAGATTTAACTTTCAATTTATGGTTCCACTCTTTTTTTTGCATTTTGCCATTTTGCATATCTGTTTGTTTTTGCCAATTGCTACTTTCTAATAAAATCGTCAATGTACAAGCATACCTGGTAAGCACACGGCGTACATTTGTATAAATCTTTGTCCAATTTTTTTCTGTCTTGCATTAGTAATTGCCAAAACTTGATTTTGATGCTTAAATAAAAATGATTACTTGAATTGAGCAAATAAATGTACATATGTATGTACATACGTATGTACATACATATACATATGTGTATAAAAAGCCAAAATTACACGAAAACAAGAACAACTCTAATGCTGCTGCACTGTAAAAACTTTAATAAACATATGTATGTATATTATCAATATAAGTACATACATATGTATATACATATGTTTTTAACAAGAAAATACTGATATGTACTGTATGTATTTAAAATCTTTCTTAGTACATGAGTGAAATTACAAAATAAAGTACTTTTAGATTTTTGGCCATCTGGAAAAACATGGTTAAATTTATTGTTGCAGTGTGGCTCAGTTGACGTCGTCGCCCGCGCAGCAGCTTAAAAAAGCTGCGCTTAAAGAAATTAACAATAAAAGTTGGAAATTTTTTTAACGCTTTTTTTTTTGAGATTTTTTTGGCTCTCGAATGACGAAGAAAATATTCGCCGAGAGAAAGAAGAAGCAGAGGAACCAGAGTTCCAAAACTCGTTTGGCATTCGAAATTCCAATATGTGTGTGTGTGTGTGTGTGTGTGTGTGTGTGTGTGTGTGTGTGTGTGTGTGGTTTTGTATTTTTGGCAACACTTCTACGCCGCTCGATTGTTGTTGTTATTCCCGCCTGGCAAAGTGAAAATTTATGCCGCACCCCGCTCGAAAGAAAAAAAAACGACAAAAAAGTTGGAGTCCGTGATTTCACACAACACAACAAAATTCCAATCCATTTCAAAGCCGCCAACAAATAAACAAAAGTCAATATGTAATTGAATTTTTTCCGCCGTTGCTTTTGCTCAACAATTTTCGTCGAACACATTTTTGTGGCTTTTCTTTCCACACACTTCGTTGTTTGCCCATGTGTGTGCGGTTGTGTGAGGTTGGTTGCTATTTTTGATTTCCATTATGATTTCGCGCCGCTCTTTTCACAGCTCCCAGTTCCAATTCCAATTTCGATTCGGATTCCCATTTTTGAGCTTAGCTTCGTTTTCATTTCGAACTCGAAACAGAATTAGCATGCATCTCTTTTTATATCGCTCTCTTTTATTCTTTGTCGACCGATTTTCGCACAGAGAAAAACTCAAGATAAGGTTTTCAGAACATAGAATTAAGAGTTCGGTTCGAAGCATGGTTATCATTTTCGACTTTTATTTAATTAAATTAAATACTATTTTGTATTTCAAAGATGAAATTTAGTTTGCAGTTATATTTTCCTTTCATAATTTTTTTTCAGTGTCCGAGTGATGGATGGGTCTGTGCTTTTCAAAGAATGCTCGCTCACAATCGGGAAAAAACCCCACGAGCCCCCTTGGTCAGCTTCCCGCTCCCGAAAAAAAAGTGGAGAGAACACTAAAATCGAGGCTGCCAAAAATATTTGTTGTTAATGGAACTTTCTGGTTTTCTTTCGCTGGCAAATTTAAATTCTTTTCTTCTTATACTCATTACTTTTTGGGTCACCACGAAAGAGGGAGATAGAGAATTGGTTGGTAACAATAGCGAGTTAATCCGAGTGAAAGGAAGCCATCGTCCGCCAAACTCCCCCCTTTGGAAAGGTTCAACATCATCATCATCATTATCAGAATGCCAACTGCGCACATTTCCATTCCCGATCCGCCCAAGATTATCGATTTTCCAACAACCCTACGAACACGAAAACCCATTAGAGAACCGAAGGGGAACGAAGCTTTCAATACCCCTGACAACTGATGTTTCCATGACAGCCGCGCGTTTTCGATGCGAACGGATGCTGTTGATAAATACGCTGGATTATGCTGGGAAATATTAAACTGTAGCTTTCGTAGGGTTTTTATTAAATTCTCTTTCAAATATGAGAGTTTTAGGGAACACACTCTGAGCTAGCCACTATTGAAAATCAAAAAAAAATTTGTTGATCATCTATTGATGTTCTAAAAATGTACAAAAAATATTATTTTATGATTATGAATTTTCAATTAATGAAATAAGATTTTTTTGCAAACCAAGCTTTTAAAAATTATGATATCCCACATAGTGCGTTAAATAAACTGAACTTGCCAATTTTGATCTGAAGGGCTAGCAAGCTATTGACCTGGAGATAAGATTACAGTGTTGCAGGGTTATCATACAATTGCCAAAAAAAATAATGTTAGAATAATTTTTGCTTTAAGAAGCTAAGAAAAGTATTATTATAAATTGAAATAATAAATATTTCTTAGAAAACTAAGTATGTACTTCCTTTATTTAAAATTTTTTAAAATTTGTATGCACCTTTCTATTATTCTGACCTCTCTATGCAGGTAAAAACTGTGTATTAAA